GGCAGCATCGCTGGGCAGTGGGGGCCAGTGGGCACAGGCGGGGACGCCACGTTTAATGAGCAGGGATCCAACCACAGGGAGCAGGGACCTCCGAGAGAGGAGAGGGCGGGGCGGGGACGAGGCGCAACGGGGCTAGTGAGAGAGTAGTGTTCGGTGCAGATCTGCCGGCTCACTTGGGGAACACAGTGACCACGTCGTAGCCTTCCGGTGGGGTGACCCGCTCTCGGGCGTGCTTTTCACAGTAGATTTGATCTTCCACAAAGAAATGGCCCTTCTGCTTCAGGTTGGTGCCACAGTCGGTGCACACGTAGCACTCAGGGTGGCGGTGGTGGTCCCGCAGCTTCACGAACACACCGCTGCGGGAGGCAGGGAGGAAGCGGCTCCGTTAGTGACAAGCACAGGACGGTGGCACCAGGGCCAGGGGCTCCCCCAAAAGGCTCATCAAAAGGCAGATCAGGCCCCCCTTTCCTGGGGTCCAGAGACTTTACTCCTGAAACCTTCCAGAAGTCTCTCCCATGTCAATAGCATGGCCCCGCTTCTTCGGTTTTTGTTTTGTTTTTAAATATATTTTTATTGATTTCAGATTAGACGAGAAAGGGAGAGAGAGATAGAAACATCAATGATGAAAGACGATCATTGATCAGCTGCTGCCTGCACGCTCCCTCCTGGGGATCAAGCCTGCAACCTGGGCATGTGCCCTTGACCAGAACTGAACCTGGGACCCTTCGGTCTGCAGGCCAACGCTCTATCCACTGAGCCAAACCAGCCAGGGCTTCTTCTGGTTTTATATGTTCGTACCCTAAGGGTTCTCTGCCGAGGAAATCGGCACCTGGCTCCGGGGCACAGAACCCACCTGGCCGCTCTGCTCCGTATTTTAGGTGGGGTTTCTTTTCTTCCCATCACACCCAGCATGTGCAACGTTCAGCACTTTGCTCACTGTCATGGTTTACTCAACGTGTAGGGCCCCCAATGCCCGGGGAAGGCAGATACTCACACGATGCCGGTGCCGCATTTGTCACACATGGGCAACTTCTGGGCATTTCCAATAGATGCAGCCACTTTGGTGACCGGAGCTTTAACACTTCTGAATCCCGAGGGCTTGTTGGGATCCCCTAAAATGAGGAACACACATGGGTTGGTCGGGAAGGGCAGGATTGCATAAGCAGCCCTCAGCTCTTTCAGAGCCATTTGTATGTGCATCCCAGCAAGGCCATGGGCAATGGAGTCAAACAGACCTGACTGCAATCCTGGGTGAGTTACTTAATTCCTCTGGTTCCCAGTTTCCTTTTCTATAAAACAGATTTCTTTTTCTTGTTTGTTTTTCCTTCACAGTGTCACTAAAAGATTTTAAAACGCACATAAAGCCCTCCACAGTACCTGGCACGTGGTCGGCCCACAAAACACTCATTACATTCTGATTAAATACATGCAAACAATGATAAGGGTACTTAAAAATGCCTTAGAGAGAATAAATCAATGAGAACATTATCTGATCATGAAAAGACTGTATTTAGAGGGTGAAAAAATCCAGTTCACCAGAACAAACACCACAGCAGCTCTCGACAAGCAGCCGGAAGAAAATCGCCTGCTACCGAGCACAGCAAGCAGCCTCCTGAAGTCAGCTCCGTGCACCTCAACCACCTGCGGCTGGGTGCTGACCGGGCCCCAGCCCAGTTCACTGCGTCTTCGGAGCTCCACGCCACGGCAGCTATTAGTAACAGTAAGCTCCCAATTCTACCACCATTGCTGGCTGTGTTTCCATTTCCCTTATTTCTCTACTGTGATGTGGCCTAGTTGTATTGTTATGTTCACTGGCTATATGCACGCCTCTGTCCAGATTGCAAACGAATAGAACACTAAACGCTGTTTTACATCTTTTTCAATATCCCACAGAGCCTAGCGTGGGGCTTAGCAAATAACAGAGGCTCAGTAAGTACCTGGGAAGGAAAGATGAAATGTCATGACGAATGCATGATGGTCTCAGTCCAACATGCTCTGACTCAAGAAGCTAGAGGAGAGAAGGAGGGAGGGACACCGGAGCCTCCTACTAGGCGGAGAGCCCACCTCCCTTTGTGCAATAAGACGTCAATTCAAAACTGGGCACCAGCTGGAGCAGTTGGATGAACCCATCCCGGCCGCAGCTTGTTCGGCTCTGCAGCGCCACCTGCTGATGCGATTTTCTTCTCTCTCTTATTCAGCCAACGCTGCAAACGCCAAGTTCATTTTACCGCCCTCTCAACCAAATTACAGTAAAAATACCAGCTCCCTTAGCACTCTGGGCAACTACCCACATTTCCAAATTTTCATTCTTTCAGGGAACCTTGAATATCAAAGCTTTCTGGAGAAAAAAATGAAAATGAGCTGAATAAAGCACAGCTTTCTTTTTATCCATCTCACTGCTTAGCACGGCTCCCCATGGTCTAATATAATCCAATTCCTGGTCCTTAACATAGCACCTGGTGACCTCCATGATCTGACTCCAGACCATCTGCGGATTCTCCTGGAACCCCGGGCACCAGCCATTATGAACCCTGATACTTAATGAGCAAGTCCAGGTTTCTTATCTCAGAACCTCTGTGATTTCCCTGTGTTTTTCTCAACCCAGACGTCTCCTTACAAACTTTCTCTCGTTGAAAGCCGCCTTTAATAGACAAATCAGTGGGTAAACAAGAGATGGTATGTACGTATCATACTGTTCAGCCTTAAAAAGAAAGGACCCTCTGGCCCAGCTGGCCTGGCTCAGTGGTTGAGCAGCAACCTATGAACCAGGAGGTTACAGTTCAATTCCCCGTCAGGGCACAGGCCCGGGTTGTGGGCTCCATCCCCAGTAGGGGCGTGCTGTTTCTATCTCTTTCTCCCTCTCCCTTCCTCTTTGAAATCACCAAAAATATGTTTTTTTTTTAAAAAGAATCCTATATACTAAGAGAGGAATATGCTAATTAGCTGTTACGCCCTGAGGCATAACACCAAGTGCATCACGACCAGATCACGGATCAGCAGGAGGGTGGGCCAGCGAGGCACAAGCAGGCTGCGGAGAGCTATAGGAGGGGGCAGGGCAGCAAGCTATGAGGGGGGGAGGGGGAGCTACAGGAGGGCGGGGCAGCGGACGGAGAGCTACAGGAGGGCAGCAGCGACCTACTGGCGCAAGCATTCGTGCACAGGGCTACTAGTAATAATAATGAAAAGAAAAGAAAGGTCCTTCTAACACAAGCTACAACATGAATGAACCTTGAGGACGTTATGCTGAGTGAAATAAGCCAGTCACAGAAGGACAAATATGGTTTGATTCCATTCATAGGAAACCCCTGAGACAGTCATGGAAACAGAAAGCAGAATGGTGGTTTCCAGGCACTGGGGGAGTTAGTGTTTCATGGGCACAGAGTTTCAGTTCTGCAAGATGAAGAGTTCTGTGATGAATGGGGGTGACTGTAGCACACACAGCATGAATGTACTTAATGCCTCTGAACTGTACACTTCAAAATGAGAAGACCCATTGCAAGTCTTTGGATATCACCAAATCCTGCTGCATACCCGTGGGGGCCTCAATGACTGCACCTGGCACCTGATCATGTGCTGCTTCCTTTATGTGGAAACAAGGGCTTAGAGGTCTCACAGCGGGTCAAGGGCGGGTCCCGGGTGCAAGTCTTGTCTACCATGCAGTGCTGCTTTACCAACCAGAGCCTCCTTAAATGACAGGAGCCCTCATCAGGGGTTCCCAATGCAGCAGACAGCCTCCTAACGCTGACTCCTAATGCTGACTCCTAATGCTCCTGTGAGAGGAAACAGCTGGGCTAGATGTGGTGGGTGCTTGTTCATATTCTCCCCGCCCCCCATCTCTCTCTCTCTCTCTCTCTCTCTCTCTCTCCTCACTTCTCCTCTCCTCTCCCAGCTTTTAGGATCTTAAAACTCACGCCGTGTAAAGCACACTGTGCTCTTTCCACAGTGGGGTGGGGGGCACCCTGCAGTCACCTTTGTTTGCACAATGACTGGATGACTGGCCCTCGCCCTGGGCCTTGAACAAGAGCCGCTGGCCACCTGCAGAGCTGATTACCTTTCTCCTCCGATTCCAGGATCTCCTGCAACACCAGGAATGACGTGGACTGTTTCGGGGGCTCATTTAACTCCTGTTTCTCCTGAAGCATCTTGTAAACTTCGGATTCTTTGTCGATGACGAGTCCGCTTGGAGACTGAGAATGCTCTAAGCTGTAAAGAATGTTTGGAAATTCATTAAGAATGTCAGAAGTTAAAAAAGCTCCCCGGGCACCCCCTTCCAAGGGAGGACACCCCTGAACCAAAGGGTGGGTGGGCCCCATGCTGATGGAAGAAGGCCTTCTGCCGATACCGCGAGGTGCCTGGAGCCAGAGCTGGCTGCTGCTTCAATGCCGTCAGGAGCTATTTTTCAAAAGAGTTTTAGTCACTCAATTACATGTTGGCCTAATCCCATGGAATGGGAATGTTTTGCTTCTTTCTAAATTACATAAACAACATTATGCCAAGAGAAAATTTAACAACGGGAAAAAGCCAACCGCGACCTGACCACTGAAACCCCAGCGGGTCCCTGAGCACAGGCCACGTGTTCCCTCCCCCGGCAGAAATCGCAGTGCCCGGGTTCCTAAGGACAGCAGCCTGCTGCTGCCTCTCTGAACCCTCATACTCCTCGTGCAAGGGGCTCTGGTCTCCTCGCCCACAACACAGGATGGCAGCATCTGCCCTGCCCCGCCCACAGGGTTGGCCCTGAGGATGAAAAACCCCAGGGCTTTGTCCACTGTCAAGTTCTGTTCTGCTGCAAGGAGGGGGCAGAGCCCTCAGCGCAGACCCAGGGACTGAGCAAGCCAGCCTTGCCTCCTGCACCTTCCCGGTCTTCCTGGGTTCCCCAGACAGGATGAGACAGGCGGGGCTGGGGGCTCCTTCCCCCAGGGCCCATGTTCCAGGGAGGAGCCTCTGAGTTAGAAGAGGGGGGAGACTCAGTCCCCTTAACATGACATCTGTCCTGATCCCAGGCCTCCCAGCACCCCCACCCCCACCGCATGCCCACCCCACACCACCGCACAGCAGCACAATGGACCCGCCTTGCAACTTGTCCCTCGTCTTGTGTTCAACCAGAGGCCACAGTGGTATTTTAAATAATTTTTTAAAAATTGGATTCAGAGAGGTAGGGAGAGGGAGATAGAAACAGCAATGATGAGAGAGAATCATCGATTGGCTACCTCCTACATGCCTGTTATTGGGGAGCAAGGCCGCAACCCAGACCTGTGCCCTGACGGGGAATCGAACCGTGACCTCCTGGTTCATAGGTCGACACTCAACCACAACAGCTCTGGGCCACAGTGGTATTTTAAACACAGGAATCAGACTGTTGAGATGTGGCTCAAGTGTTCTCATCCGACTTAGGACCACACATGTGGTTTTAGTAACAAAATACAAATTTAATCAAACGCATCTCCTGTGGAGTAAATGTTCACTACAACGTAGAAAGGCCCCGAAAGACGTGGCTCTGCTTTCCCCTCTAAACAGGTCACCTCCTGCCCCTCAGCCACAGATGCTTTTTCAGAAGCTGCCAACTCCGAGGGTAGAGGGACAGTGTGCCCAGGGAGCCAGGAGCAAATACCAGAGGGTGGTGCAATCTATCCACGCGGCAAGTATGTGAGCAGCTGTAGTTTGTGAGTAACGAACCACACGCCATCCAGCCCACCAGGCTGTCTCCCAGGTAAGGGCGCAGGCAGACGCAGGCCATGGCTGCCAACCGTTTCTCAGCGAATCTAACCACCTTGTCCTTAGGGCTGAGGCCATGGTTACACATGCAAATGAATTACAGTGATTATGTTCTACTCACTCATTTCCTACCCGTGGAGTAGTTATTTCACATTCCATTTTAAAAAGAAAACGGAGGTATATGTTTCCTGGGCCATTCTCCCCAAGTTACCGCCCCCTCCCTCCCTTCTGCGTCAGCCTCCTAGGGCACTGGATGCTCATGTCCGGCTGGAAATGGCATCACCTGCTCCAGTGGAACCCCAGGTTACCCCTTCGACTACAATCAGGCTCTCACGATAGAGGACAAAGCCCTCAAGCAATGACACATGCTTTGCTGATGCCACGCAATGTCAGGATTCAAGAAGGAAGACTCATCAGCTGGTCACTCCCGCTGGCTGCCATGGTCCCTGCCTTTGCCTGTCCCTCCCACCGCAGGGAACTGTGGGAGCCTCCCGGGCTGGCCAAGGGCCACCTTGAAGAATAGCTTTAACCAGGAGCCATGTCTTCCTCGGGCCCACCTATCAGCACTGAGGTTCGAGCTCTATGCCTCACTCTTTCTTTGGGTCTGGAGTTCTGAGCTTGCCCTATAATAAATGCATTATATTATTTTTGGTGACTCTTTTTTTCTCTTACATGTAGGACTATTTTAAAATCAAGATCAGACCATGGAATGTGCTTGGGGAGAATTTCCCCCTTCTTGGGTGTATGCTGTTATGTCTGGAAGCCGCCGAGGGAACGCTAAAAACGACAGAACCCAAACCACAAGGTCATCACATATTCTCCCAGCAAACAGTCCTGCAAAAACATTCCCAGGATTGAAAAAGGGAAAACAATTCACAGTTTTTCTCAAATAATAGTAATATATTCCTACCGCTTGACAATTTATAAAGCACTTCCAATGTCCATTACCTTATTTGAAGAATTGATATACAGCTAATTCAGAAATAGTATCCTAAGACACAAAGTCTAAGTCTTAAACATCAGACTAGGAGATATTCCTAAATGAATTCACAATATCTTAAAAAATAATTCTAGGACAAAAACACACATTAGAAATGCAGGGGGGAAAAGGTACTGTCACTTTTATATATAGTAACAGCATCGAAGGAAAGAATTCCACAGTGATAAGGTTTCAAAAAATATCATATGCATGACTGAGTCACCAGGAGGGGTGGGATGCCAAGAGTCACCTCATTCTTCTAAACCCAATCCTTCCAACTGTAGTAGCAACACACAAGTTTAATCATTTCAACTTCTTTGGATTAACGACACATTACAGTTGTGTTTCCTAGCCCTTGTTTCTTCCTGAGTCGTATTTGGTGCTGACTCATATGTGGTGCATTTAGTTACCTAAATGTTTAGTATTTTCTCCTACTCTTTTAGGCCCTGGCCGTGTCTCCCCAGGGACATCACGGACAGGCCACTCCCAGCCTGTGGAGGTGGCTGACATCGCCAGGCATTTTAGGATGCCAGTGGTATTTAGAATGTAAGAAGAAACTTCCCTGAGCTGGCTTCCAGAGGAAGATTTCAGAGGCCGAGCCTACAGCCTCGCATGACACACAGGCCTGCTCCAGCCACAGGAGCAGCTGGGGCGAAGCTCAGAATGTCAAGGAGGACAGGGAACAGCCTGGCTCTGGGAGCTGGATCAGCACTGCGAAAATACAGGTAAATGGAAGGACATCCATGTTCATGGACAAGAAAAGCTAATGTTGTTAAAATGTCCAATAAAATATCCATACTGCCCAGCCCATGTTTGCTCAGTGGTTGAACACTGACCCATGAACCAAGAGGTCCCCCAGTTCGATTCCCAGTCAGGGCACGTGCCTGGAGTTTCAGGCTCAATCCCGAGTAGGGGGCATGCAGGAAGCAGCTGATCAATGTTTACCTCCCTCTCCCTTCCTCTCTTAATAAAAACATGTTTTTTAAATGGTTTAGACGATGTATGTTACGCTATGCGTTTTTAACCAAACAATAAAAAAAGACAAATCCTTAGAACAGAAAAAAAGGAACCAATGATACATTTCAAAAATCTCAAGAGCCCTAGCTGGTTGGGCTCAGTAGATAAAGCGTCAGCCTTCAATCTCAAGAAATAAGTCTCCAGTGAATTATGCTGAGTAATAAAAAGCCAATCCCTGAAAGTTACATACTATATGATTCCATCAGTATAACATTCTTGAGCTAACAAAACGATAGAAATGGAGAGCAGATTAGGGAGTTGCCAAGTGGGGGGTGGTTGGGAGGGTGCAGGGATAGGAGGGAAGCAGGTGTGGCTATGAATGAGCAGCCTGAGGAATCCTTGAGGTGATGGACATGTTCTGTCTTGATCTTATTCATGTCCGTATTCTAGTTTTGTTGTGCTATAGTTTTCAAGACGTTACCATGGAGGGAAACTGGGTAAAAGGTGCAAGGGTCCTTGCTGTTATCTCCTGTAACTGCAAGTGCATTACGCCAAAATAATAAAAAGTTTAATTCATTTTAAGAATCCTTTCCCCAAATGATGTGCAGATAATACTAACTATCCCCAAAGTGCTAATTGGAAATGTTAGTGCCTGATCTTCATGCAGGTTCAGGTAAAGAAGGTACATTGACTCGGATAAATCCTCCTGTCTGGGATACCCTGGTCACCTTGACCGTATTCATGTCCGTATTCTAGTTTTGTTGTGCTATAGTTTTCAAGACGTTACCATGGAGGGAAACTGGGTAAAGGGTGCAAGGGTCCTTGCTATTATCTCCTGTAACTGCAAGTGCATTATGCCAAAATAATCTGTCAGCATTTTGAAAAAACCCTAACTTAACTTCGGTGCCGTGTCATACAGAAATTTTTTGATATTTGCGACCATAGTAAAACAAAGATTTATATTTTTGATATTTATTTTATATATTTAAATGCCATTTAACAAAGAAAAATCAACCAAAAAAGTGAGTTCGTGTGTCACCTCTGACACGCGTGTCATAGGTTTGCCATCACTGCCCTAAGTTTTAGTCTTCAAAGGCCTAGATGCTGGGCCTGTAATAAGAAACCAGAGGAGTAATTACGGCCCGGGAGAAGGGGGAGGAACACCCAGACTCGAGCCAGTCTCTGTGGCTGCGGGCAGTTTAGCTGGAGGGGCCAACAGCCACCTCCTGACGGAGCTTTTCTTCCCGTCCAGCTCCGAGTGAGTCAGGCCTAACAGAATCCCTCCTACCAGCTGGATAGAACAATGCATCTCATTATTTCCTCTGCACCTGCTTAGAAATCCGCCTGGTGAGTATATGGCAGGGTTGCCTGAAAACACAATTTGGAACTAGTACCTTGAGACCGTCGTGTTGGTTATGGGAACCCAACCGACTACTTCAGGAAGGGGCCGCCGATACACAGGACGGTGACTAGCCGCACTGGTCGGCTGATCTTAAGCTGCGGTGCTGGGAAAGAAAGAAGCTTATCATTAAGTCCCTGCAAAACGCGACTTCTCCATGACGCCCATCTACATGCTTCTGCTCTTCTGGGGGAAGCCCCTGTGCTCCAGAGTGAAGGGCGAGGAGTCCCTCACGGGCAGTGAAATCAGTAGTAACTGAGCATCTGCCAGGGGCCAGGCACCAACGTGAGCGCTCCTCACGCATCGCATTTTGTTCTCTCAGTAGCTGGGGGATAGTCAGTATGACCCGCACTCCATGGGAAGAGGACGAAGTCTCAGGGAAGCTTTCTGGCTTGCTGGTGATCACACTGCTAGTAAGAGGCAGAGCTAGAACTGGAGCCCAGGCCCCGCTATCTACACAGCCTGTACCTTTAGGAAAGTATCCAGCACCATCACATAGATCAAGGGTGGGGAACCTTTTCTCTGCCAAGGGCCATTTGGATATTTATAACATCATTCTTGAGACTTACAAAATTACCGACTTAAAAACTGGCCTGCTATATTTGGTCAAACATTTAACATACTCACCCCTCATGCCTTGGCAGGGCCAGACCAAATGATTTCTCTGGCCGGACGTTCCCCAGCCTGACATAGATAATGAAATCTAGGCCCCGAATCATCACAAAATGACCTGAGAGCCCCTAAACTCAGTTCAAAGAGGTCAGACGGCAGGTGGAAGTTGAATGCAGGACGGAGCAGTATTTCCTGCGCCCGCAGGTACACAGGAGGCGCTCACTAAATGACTGTTAAACTGAACAGATCCAGCGGCCCTCCCACGCAGCTGCACGTGTGCTGGGAGGACTGGCGAGTCCCCCGCGCCTGCCTTCCCAGTTAAATTGGGAAATGACAATGCCGTCTGTGTTCTTGTCTGATGGGGACATTGCCCTGGGACGTCCTACAAGACACACACACACACACACACACACACACGGCCGCTTTGAAGTGAACGGGACAAAGAAACTCAGAGTCAGCCCCAAGAGGTCAGGGATGACCTCAGATGCCAAGTATGAAGTAGGCGGGCGGCTAGCCTTGGGGAGAAAAGCAAGGGGCGCCTTCCTTTGCTGGGGGTGCACAGGGGCCGCTCTAGCAACAGGCCGGTAAGCAGAGACCCCACAGGCAGGCAGCACAACCTGTCCGGGCGGTTTCTGGGCCGTGAGCTCCTGGTGTTCCCAGTTTCTGGATTCATCCTCAGAGTCTGGGATGGAGTGGGACCTGGGCCCCTCTGGCGAGGAAATCTGAAAGGAGACTTTGGATAAAGGCTCAGAGGCCACTGCAGCCAACAAGTCTTCGACCGGAGGGGACCGGGGCTGGAGGGAAGGCTTGCACAGGGTCCGAACAGTCTCAGACCTAATTGTTTCAGACTGAGGGAGGGAGCAGGCGGGGAGCATGAGAGAGGAAGAAAGGAGACATTAATGAAGGAGTAATGGCCAGAGCCATACTAAAAATACCTCCCAGGCACATATTCCTCCCCATGCATACCAGCTCTTTCAATTAGGATGTGTCATTTCCTGGGTTATTGACTCCAGAGCAGGGAACATTCCAGTCGGGGACAGTGACAGAAGGTTACGTTCTCAGCCTCCCCCAGCACCACGGCAGCAAAGAAGAGCAATCATGGCCAGGGTGTTTCCACCACTCAGCTCCCCCTGAGCTGCGGGAGAGAAAGCCGCCCTTCAGTGTGTGCCCGTGGAAAGCCTGGGCGGCCCAGCATGCTCTCTGTCTCGGGTACCCCAAAAGCTCCCGTCACCCCGAAGGACATCATCATCTCAAGCCAGCAGGCCGCGCAGGAATCAGAATCTGGCAAAAGCTCATCAGTAGCCATTTTGCCTTGGTTACTGCAATGACTGCAGGGACGGCTGGTAAAGCCAAAGTCACACAGCCAAGTCCCCCCTGCTGGACGCTAAGAAACTGGAAAGGAACTCGCAGTGCCTTTCGGTGCCGGGCACGGGAGACCTGCGTGCAGCGGTTGCCCAATAGCATCTGGCTCTTCTTCAGAGAAAGGGGAACCACACGGCCAAGGAGCCCTCCAGAGGCCCCACACGGCCCTTTCCAAACACTGAAGTCGCTTGGAACCTCTTGTGCCTTTACGTCTCCTACCCGGCATTTGAAGCAATGGACTTGCAATGTAATCACCCTCAGAGCTGGGCAGATTCTTATTAAAGGTGAATTGGGGAGACACTGAACACGAAACGGGTTCAGAGCTAACACAAGAACTGCGGATTCCACTCCATCCTCAGAGATCACACAAGTTTGGACCACACATATTTTCCAACAACTTTGATTGTCACCAACATTAAAGATCAGGAAATTTCAGATAAAAAAGAGGCATTTAGACTTCCGTTTCATTGCAACTAATCAGCAGAAATGAGGCTCCGAGGCCAGCATGCGGGGACTGGCTGGAGCCAAGGAGTGGTTCCCCTCTGGATGGGGCGTGCACGGGCCAGCCGTCTCGGGCCGCTCTGCTCCCGTCGGCACTCATAGCTCTGCCCTCGTGTCCTTATCGCCTCTGCCACCTTTGGGTATTTGGCATGGCAACTGGTGACGTAGTCCATCGCCCTTTCACCCACAGAAAACTGGTCCCATCTCTTACTCTCCATCCCCAAACCCACTCTTTGCCACGATCTGTGGTGTTCCCAGTGTTTGGATTCATCCTCAAAGCGTTTGGGATGGAGCAGATCCTGGGCCCCCTCTGCTGAACAAAGACAGAGAGGCAGCTGTGGCTCAATGGTCAGTGACAGGAAGGGACACACCTCCCCCGTCCTGAGCAAGATGCTTCCTGAGGCCGCTCCACGCTGCACACCTGCAGCCCACCCTGGCCCTGGGCAAACCTTTGTATCCTCACACGTTTACATCCTCACAGACTTCTCGTCTTTCTATTATTTCTACTGGCCACTCAGGGAAAGGGCAACCCAAAACTTGCATCATGGCGTACTTCTCCCTTGCTCGGATTGGATGGTGAGCACAGCAGAAAGCCCCACTCTAAATACTGAAGAATTTCTCAGGAAGCAGCGGAGTTGCCAAGGAGGGAGTGTGGCCAGAGATACCAAGACAATAACATAGATCTCAGCGAATAAGGGATGACTCTGCGCCAGACACAATACCTGGCATTTCACGGGTTACTTCTTATTTTTACAACAGCCTATACGAGGCAGGTAGCACTACCTCCTTTACAGAGATGAGGAGAGTGCAGGCAGAACAAACTGTGCTGAAGTAAACCTTTTTCTCCCCGGGCCCGCGGCTCAACCTGCCCCCACCTGCCTGCCCAGCCCCGGCCTGGCCTGGAGGAGAATTCAGGAGCCCACTTACCCTCTGCCATTCGTCTCTGGTCCACCGGCTGCCGTCTTTGCCTCCAAAGCGCTGTTGAAGTTGGAGATGTTTTCCGAGGAGTAGAGGCCGGAGGGGTTGTTGTACTGGTTTGTGATGACCCTGGGGGCAGAGCCGGAGGCAGGCGAGGCGGTGAAGGGCATGGCGCTCCGGTTGTGGGCACTTCCTATGTGCAGGACCTCCTGCAGGCGGAGATCAGAGGAGAAATCAAGGTGAGGGCATCCTACATACCCTCTCCATGGACAGTGCCGCCGAGGGAGGAGACAGGTGTTCCGTGAGCTCCAAAGGCCCTGGCTCAACGCCAAACTTCAGCTGAGGGGCTCCAATGTACCCACCAGCCGTGGGCAACAGCCAGGATTCTCAAAAGCTGGGCGCGCGGACAGGGTCACATGCCAGCTCCGCCGTCTGGCTCTCCCCTGAGGCCAGTGAAGCTCACCTCCTGCTGGGGAGCCCAGGGCAGGACACCCCGGGTGCCCTGAAGCTGAAACACCCTTCCAGGGCACATTCTGGGGGGACTCAGGTACCAGGAGGACAAGAACAGGCAGTCACTTCTGGGCCAGTGCAAAGCAAGAGGTGCTAAGAGGTGGAGATAAAGTTCCCAGAACAGAGGGGGTTAGGCAAACAAAATAAGAGGGCTGTGGTGACACGGGGCAGAGATGGCCTGGGCGCTCCCGCAGAAGGGGGCCAGAGAAAGCCCAGAATCCGTGGTTTCTTGTGGGAGGAGGACAGGGCCGATCAGATCAGGGCTGGGGGCTACCTGTGGCAGGGGCGGTGCCCAGGGGAGCTGCAGGAACAGACTTTGGTTCCTTCTGGGCCCGTTCCCCTCCTTCCGTCATTTGAGAAAGCTCCCACCACCATGACACTGGCTTGCCAGGAGTTATGGGTAACTACTCCAGCTGCACCTCAGAGCTTCGGTACAAACAGCCCAACATTTGAAAACTAACATGTCTTTTTTTAAAAATCCCGGCTCTTCTGATGACTCAGTGAGCAAGGTGCTTTCTACCCAGATCTGGGTCTCCCTGCCTCCCAGGCAACAGAACGCTCTGTGCAACCTACTAAAGTCAGCTGGGTCCTGTTTTCTGGATTCCCCAGAAATCTTCCTGAAGCCCCTGGTCTCCTTCTTAACACCCAGGCCTAGAGCAGCTGCCCTCTCCGCGACCCCCAAAGAGTTTCTGTCCTTTATTGCTCTTCCTTTTTCTCTCTTTCTTTTTGCTAACCCTTTAAGTCTTTCATGCTTTCTCAGAAAACGTGATGACGAAAAGTAGCAGCTTCATCTCCTGGGCACTGATTTAAAAGAGAAGACAACACTATCCGACAGGTAGAATGAGTGAGGTTTTAACTGTATAAATGACACTGAGTTCGCTTTGTCCCCATTGGACCGAAGTTAACTACACACAGATGGTTCACAAAAGGGGAAGTAAGTATAACTAGTTGAAAAAATAACGTTAGCACTAATCAAAGAATGGTTAAATAAACTGTACGGCACCACTCATCCAAGAAATAATATGTAGTCATTAACAGCAGCAGACAAGCAGATGGGAGGCCTGGGACTTGGGCCCACGACCGGGGCTGCACCCCAGCTCTGCGGGGAGACCACAGCTATAGCCAGGAGTGCAACTCCTCCCTCCTCGCAGCATCTCCACAGCAACCCCGAGGAGCAACCCGGGATGCTGAGCACCAGGGAAGAGCCCTAATTTTTCTGTCTCAGCTCAGTTTTTCCCTGTTGCTTCCTGTTCAGCTTTGGGCAAGTTATACCTCTTTCTCAGCTCATTTCTCATCTTTAAAATGAAGTAATAAAGTCACTTTCGCAAGGACTTGGTGTGAAATCTTAGTGTGGCAAGCACAGTGCCTGGCACACAGAGACCTGCAACCAGTGT